ATATATATAAAACTTACCTCAATAAAAAAATTGAGATGTAAATTTTTAATACAAAACATGGGGTTAAAACGCCCGATTATTGGGCATTGCTGTCCAACGGGCTGTTGCCGGGGACGTGCTGAATCCTTCCGGTGATCTCGCTCGGACGCAAATTGAGACAATGTTCTGGTTGGGGGAGCTGGAAGTGGTGTGATCCTACTTCTCCTCCTCCTCTTCGCATCTGTTTGGTGTTATTTTCCGCCGCGTGCGCCGATTTTCCTGGCCGCCGACCTGCTGCGCAAACAAAAATAACAAACAAAGGATCTCCAAGACATCAACGGCTGCGTATTGAGCAAATTGAGCTGATGGTTTGCTGTGATGTTTTGAAGGATTCCCAGCAGCGCCTAAAAGCGGAATGCCCATTTTTATTTGCTGCAAGAACTCCCTCTCCCGAACCATCGCATCAATGCAACCATGCCGGGTAAAGTTCGGATCTACTCGATTATATGAGGGTGGCTTTTGGTTTGTCCTGTAACGCCACAGATGACTATATTCAATCGTTATTTCCAATGTGGTGTCAAGGGTCATCTTGGAATCGTTTGTGTTTTCGGTGGTCCTGATCCACATGGCCATGGACGTCTTACAGAGGCCATGCGAGGCGGATTCTATGGGAGACAATGTGAACTACTCCCCCCATGGAGGCAAATATTTCAAAAAACTCGAAGTCATATACCCGATCGCAATATTGAACTCGCGATATAATTGCGACAAGGATAAATAAACGTGGCTGCAAAATTACCTTTGGTTTGCGATGTGACCGTGATGACACCGATATCGAGAAATGGATTGGCACGGAGTGGCACCAACAATTAAGAAATTTCATTTCTTCCACGTGCTGAACGGGACAACAGCAATACTTATGCTGAAGTTGCTGCCTAAGAGCGGGCGGAGGTGTTTGAACGATGAGGGGCCCAACCTATCGCTTTAATGCCTGCTCTCTCGCCCACGCGCGCACTATTCGGCAGGGCATGGTAATGAGTAACTCCAAACAGCTGAGGCACCCTGGAGGCGATTTACCACGCACTCTGCGTGAACCTCTAGGTTCTGTACTTTGGGCATGCTATTTCTCCTCATCTTCCTCTTCCTCCTCCTCCTCCCGTGACACTGCTTAGCTTGCTGGCTCGCCGCGTCAGCGCTGGGTTTCACCCCCGCCAAGTTTCCAAACGGCGTGCTTTTGGTCTGAAGATGCTGCGTGGAAAAAAATACCAAACAACAAACAAAACATGCAATTCAAAGTAAAATCGAAACTGATCAAACCCTGAAACAAAACATAATGAGAAATTCAATCGCGGAACGTGCGACGCTTGATCTTATAATGGGTAATATATGTTTTTGGAACGGGCGATGCTTGTTTCCAAAGGGGCGCAGCTAGTTTCCGCATTTGTTGGAATTTGTTTTCGGAACGTGAATTTGTTTCCGGAATGTGCGCGGCGTGTTTGTGGAACGACAATAATATATTGATTCCAGAGCGCCGAAATACCCGGAACGCCGAACTTGTTTCCTGAAAGCCGGAATAGCAGGAGCAACACGACCAAGAATAAGCATTGAAACGTTCAATAATCGGGGAAACAGTAATAGTCGGGCAAGCCTAAGCAGCAATTTTTTCCTCCCCCCCTATCCTCCCTCTTCTTTCTCCTTTCCCTCCTCCTTCTCCTCCCGCCTCATCCCCATCCCCATCCTCATCCTCACCTCTTCCTCTTCCTCCTCCTCCTCCTCTTCCACCTCCTTCTCCTCCTCCTCCTCCTCCTCGTCCTCTCCTCCTTTCTCCTCCTATTCCTCCTCTTTCATCATCTCCTCCTCCTCCTCTTTCATCTCATCCTCCTCCTCTTGCATCTCCTCCTCCTCCTCTTTCCTCCTCCTCCTCCTCCTTCTCCTCTTTCCTCCTCCTCCTCCTCCTCCATCCTGTCCGCCTCCTCCTCCTCCTCCTCCGCCTCCCGGGCCCACAGCGGTGCGGATTCGGAGCATCTCGTGACGGGGCAGCGCCGCAGTGCGAGGCTCAGATTCTCGTCCCCAGCAGTGTTCAGGGCCAGCCTCTCCGAGGGCCGAACGAATGAGGCAGATACACGCCAAAAGCGTGGGGGCAAGCACAGACGGAGGGGGCATTGGAGCGTCACGCCAGACGCTTGACAAAGCACAAGACGCAACAAGCGTGCGCCTCTGACAGCCTAGGCGCGCCAGATGGCGCGCCAGATGGCGCGCCAAGAGGACGAAAGGGGAGGGGGAGAGGAAGACAGGTGTGCAGCAGCGCCAAAACATGTTACGTAATTCTGCTTGGGTGCAGAAGCGCGAATTCAACATTACAGCCCATCCTCTCGCTGCCAGGAGACTGGCGCTCAAGAGCGTTACGCGTAATAAGTTGTGTCCATGCGTTTTCGCTGGTAAAGCATCATATGAAGGCGGCCTTAAGACGGAAACAATTGCGCATGAATTGTGTAAGCATTTTGCCCACTCGTGTTACGGGCGCCTGGAGACCCGCGAGTGTGAGCCAGTGGCAGATTTCACACTGTCAGTTTGAAAGATCAAGTGTTTCCAGCACGTTTAACGTCCATTGATGCTTCAATCCCACCAGCCCTTTACCAACTCCCTGTCGTCCCCTTCGGGGAGGGGTCTACCCCCCCTGCCCCCCCCCTGGATCTGGACGGGACTTCTTCTTGTCGTCCGAGGTGTCCAGTTCGGCGCTGCAGTACTCCCTCTTGCTGTCGACGTCCTGCGAGGAGAGGCGTGCGAAACGACGACGTCGGAGATCTACTGACCCGGGTCGATCCAAACCCAGGCTCAGTCGGGCACTGCGGGATGCTGCAAGATCCTGCAGGAGCCCGCAAGATCCTGCGTGCAGGCCCAGGTCAGTGCACTTTGGCTCTGTAGGATCCTGCAGGATCCGCCGCCCTCCTCCTCCTCCTCCTCCTCCTCCTCCTCCTCCTCCTCCTCCTCACTTCCCAAACATCCGGCTGCTCCAACTTTTTCGATGTAAAACGATACGAACATCGGGACAAAATCGGATCGGGATAACTGGAAATCTCTGAGAATCGGCGGGTTTGGAGGATGTATTGGGCGCCGCGGCCGCTCCAGAGCGTTCCGGAACGCTCTGAGAACGCTCCGGAACGCTCTGGAGCGATTTATCCCGATCCTAGCCCTGTTTTACAAACATCCGGCTGCTCCAACTTTTCGATGCGTGGGCCCTGGAAGTCCGGTCCACTTCCTCGGGACCGGTTTTTCGTCCTGAGTCGGCTTTTGACGCTCCCGAGGCCTGGCGAGGGCCCTCGGAGGCCGAAAACGGCTAAACACCGCTTGCTTCATTCAATCTTTGTTGGAGCGTCGGATCTCAGGGTTCCCCCCTAGGCTCTCAACGCCTCGAAAAATAGCTGGGGTCACCTCTCAGACCACTTCGTTCAGATACTTGGACCTCTCACTGTAGATCAAGCTGCTCGTGATTATCACAATGCCGTCGTGGCCAGACGAGCCCGATGAGAGCGTTCCTCTTCGGTCACGATGTGAGTAACACTCCCCTTCAAAATGGTCGCCGCTATCAGTCGACAGTCCTAAGTCATCTTCTGCGCTCAGTTACATCGGCCCTGGGCAGAGGCACAGAGGGACTGCAAAAGGAACGTCTGCACCGGCCTGAGGGCACCACTGAATTCGATCATCTTTCAGTTCAAAAATGCCGTCACATGCAGTCCGATATAATCCTCATCCAATTCGCCGGCCCAACGGGCCAAAGGCGTGCTAAGATCTCCAGTAACTAGTTTAGAAGTTTTCTAGTTCGCGCGCGCGGGGTCGCCCCTGGGGTCCCTGGATGATAAATACCCCGGCCGATCCCTGGCGAACATTTACTCAGAGATTGTTTTCCTCCTGGGTGCGGCCTCTCAGGCCCCCCAGAGCGCGCCAAGAGAGCCCCAAGAGGCCCCAGAGGCCCCCAAACGGCCCCCAGGCCACGGTCGCGCAGGCAAACGCCTGCGATGGGATAATACGGGCTGGCGGAGTGAGCGAAGCAATAAAATAAACGACAGCCCCGCTCCTCATCCAGCTCCTGCGTGCCAAGCGCAGCGCCAGAACCGCACACACACGCATACGTATGTACCTAAACATCTACATACGTATATAGATATACAGTGTGTGCCGGTAGACATGTACACACAGGTAGGCACGCTAATCAAGCAAAGGCCTGTGAGATGTTGAACAAGAGGCAAGACAGAAACAATGCTTACCGCACCGTGTGAAATAAGCAGAGCCAGCCTCTCAGACCACTTCGTTCAGATACTTGTATCTCTCACTGCAGATCAAGCTACTCGTGATCATCACAATGGCGTCGTGGCCAGACGAGCCAGACGAAAATGAGGGCGCTCCTCGACCGTCACGACATGAGTACCGCTTCCCTTCAAAATGGTCGCCACTTCTAGTCGACAAGAGATCATGAGAGTGGTGTCGTGGCCAGACGAGCCCGACGAGGACGAGAGCGTTCCTCTTCCGTCACGATATGAGCAACGCTTCCCTTCAAACTTAGCACCGCTGTTAGTCGACAGTCCTGGATGGGGCCCTTTGAAAAATCATTCCCGTCGGCCCTGGGCAAATGCACAAGAGGAACCGCAAAAGAACCCTGTGCGCCGGACTGGGGGCATCACTCAACTCCATCAACTTCCTGATCAAAGAAATCGTCACATGCAATCTGGTTGACAATCCTCATCCAATACATTGAAACACCGCTCCGCATCTAATGCATCCATCTGTGCTCACCGTGGAGCCAACACACGCATGAATCTGATATACGTAGCACCCCGCAATTGCGGATAAAAGTGGGAGGGCGGGCGCGGGCGACGCGGGCGTCGAGCCCCGGCGGACCTCGTGGCCCTCACGAATGCAGAAAGAAGCCTGGGATGAATGTAAAAAAAACCGCCACAGGCGCCGAAAATTTTGGGTGGGTCGCGGGGTGGGTCGCGGATGGGTCGCGGGTGTGTCGCGGTGGGTCGCGGGTGGGTCGCGATGGTTGCGGGTGGGTCGCGGGTGGGTCGCGGGTGGGTCGCGGGTGGGTCTCGAGGTGGGTCGCCGGTAGGTCGCGGGTGGGTCGCCGATGCAAAAGAAACCCGCCGCAGGCGCCGAAGTTTTGGCTTGCCCAGTGAACGTAATTTGGGTCGCGGGTGCGTCGCGGGCTCTCCACCTCCACCTGGAAGGAATTCAAAAACAGCCCGCCGCAGGCGCCGAGAAGTCTGATTTGTACACTGAATGCGGTTTGGGTCGCGGGTGGGTCGCAAGTTCTCTACCTGGAACGACCTGGAACGAATGCAAAAAAACCCGCCGCAAGCGCCGAACATTTTGGGTGGGTCCGCGGGGTGGGTCGCGGGCGGGTTCCGGGTGGGTCGCGGTGGGTCGCGGGTCGCGGGTGGGTCGCGAGTGGGTCGCGGGTGGGTCGCGGGTGGGTCGCGGGGTGGGTCGCGGGTGGGTCGCGGGGTGGGTCGCGGGTGGGTCGCGGGTGGGTCGCGGGTGGGTCGCGGGTGGGTCGCGGGGTGGGTCGCGGGTGGGTCGCGGGTGGGTCGCGGGTGGGTGCCGGGGGGGTCGCGGGGTGGGTCGCGGGCGGGTCTCGGGGTGGGTCGCGGGCGGGTCGCGGGGTGGGTCGCGGGTGGGTCGCGGGGTGGGTCGCGGGTGGGTCGCGGGGTGGGTCGCGGATGGGTCGCGGGTGGGTCGCGGGGTGGGTCGCGGGTGGGGTCGCGGGGCGGGTCGCGGGTGGGACGACGACAACAACAAACAACAAACAACAAACAACAAACAACAAACAACAAGCAACAAGCAACAAGGAACAAGCAACAAGCAACAAGCAACAAACAACAAACAACAAACAACAAACAACAAACAACAAACACCAAACACCAAACACAACAACAACAACAACAACAACAACAACAACAACAACAACAACAACAACAACACCAACAACAACAACACCAACAACAACAACAACAACAGCAACAGCAACAGCAACAACAGCAGCAACAACAACAACAAGAAGAATCCGCATCGCGGAATTCCACTTCAGCCACGCACCCAGGGACAGTGAATGACCGTTCGCTTCAGCCCCCCCCCTCTCTCTGATATGTATGTGTATATATATGTATGATATGTATGTGTATATATATATATATGTATAAAAATTACACGTCGTACAGGTATAACGTCTCCAGACACTGCTTGCACTCAGGGGTTGGAGGAGGAGGAGGAGGAGGAGGAGGAGGACCTTGTGTTCTAAAGAAACTGGGCCCTGGTGTCTCACCAGCCGGCTCGTTGCCGCGCTGCTTTTTGCACTTCTTCGCGCTGCTGTACGTTGCTTTGAATTGCTTTGAATTGCGTTGCTGTGCATTGCTTCGCATTGCTTTGAACTGCTTCGCATTGCTTTGCATCGCGCTGCATCCCTTTGCACTGCTTCGCACGGCTCTGCATGGCTGACGAAAAATGGGAGGATGGTGATGAGAATCATCGGGTGGCTCTCGGGAATGAGGCGCAGTGACGGGATCGGGGTCAAATGCCAGTGGCGTTGCCACACCTTGCGATGAGATTGGTGCAGGAGGGGCTTCACACCTTGCGACTGCAATTAAAGAAAGTTGCAGCGGCAAGATTTAGAGGATGTCTCGAGCAAAGGTGTTGATTTGGAGAAGATGAAAACAACTTTGATTGCGTTGGGCTCCACTTTTGGCAGCGTTTTACTCGGAACTGCAACTGTTCCAAGAACCGCGTCCAAAATCACCGAAATTAATCGTGTTTTTGATCTGCAGTTGTTGATCACGTTTGTGTTGTTGAACATTGGTGTGTTTATTGTGCCCTGACGTCGCAATCTGCGTGAACGGTGCGTCAGATGTTCGGAAGTCTACGGATGCCTCAAGCGAAACGGCTTCAAACATCGTGGACGGGACCCTGCGGCTCCAAGTCTTCGCCTCTGACCTCTACTCCCTCGGAGAGGTGCGTATAAGAACATACGCGTGAACATCCTAGAACCACGCGCGCTTCGCGCGCTCTTAGGTTCTAGCATGCCCTGGTTATATATCAAAAACTACGCTTCGGAGGACTTAGACTGCCACGCGGATCGTGCCCCGCAGGGAACTCCACCTGCGGCCCCGAACGCAGGCTTGGCTTGGCGTCCCCCGCCCATGTCGGCACACCCCTCACAAGGATAGAACCCCACAGGGAGCTCCTCCCGCGTCCCCAGAGACAGGGTTCGCATGGCGGCATGCCCCTGAGGCGGGTCGTGCCCCGCAAGTAGTTCGGGGATGGACAGACCTCCCTTTAGTAAAACGTGGTTTAGTGAAAACGACTTGAGGCCCAAACCTGGCGGGCGCAAGCCTGGAAAACAACGGCCGCGGCGCCCTCCCGAGAACCGAAAACGGACAATTCACTACTCGACGTGTCACTGTTGGGGGTTCTGTCCGCCCCCGAGGAGGAGGAGGAGGAGGAGGAGGAAGAGGACGAGAAGGGGGAGGAGGAGGAGGAGGAGGAGGAGAAGGAGGAGGAGGAGGAGGAGAAGGAGGAGGAGAAAGGGGGAGGGGGAGGGGGAGGAGGAGGAGGAGGAGGAGGAGGAATCATTAGGGCATCAGGGCCTTAGACGGAAGTCTCTCGCATCCAGCGACCCGATTGCTTAGTAATCAGGCTCTTCTTCGGACTCTTCACTCCTGCCAGCCTGGAGCCGAGCCTCTTCTTCGAGGCGCCTCTCAGCTCGGCAAAACACAA